AAAAAAAAAAAAAAAAAAAAAAAAAGATGCATACAAATTTGTTTTATTAGCATCTTCATGTTGAATTAAATCACTTATCACTATGAAATATATCTGGTTCTTTTAGTAATGTTTTTAATTAAAGCATATTTTTTCTCTTATTAATGATTATACCAGATTTCAATTGGTTAGTGTTTTAATGGTGTATCTTTTGCCATCTTCTTTTTTAAAATTTTCTGTATCATTATATTTTATGTGTATTCCTTTTCATTGAATTAATATTCTTTTTAAATTTAGGCTTATGATCTGTTTTTTTAAAAATTTGAAATCTTCAATCCATTACATGTAATGTAATTCTACAAATAATTTGGCATAAATATATCATCTTTCTGTTTGCTTTACATTTATATTCCTATTCTGATTTTCTGTTTTTTCCTCTGGAATATTTAATTTTTTTTTTTTTTTTCTGAGACAGAATCTCACTTTGTCACCCTCGGTAGAGTGCCATGGCGTCATAGCTCAAAGCAACCTCAAACTCTTGGGCTCAAACAATTCTCTTGCCTCAGCCGCCCAAGTAGCTGGGACTACAGGCACCTACCCCAGCACTTGGCTATTTTCAGAGATGGGGTCTTGAATTCTTGAGCTCAGATGATCCACCCATCTCAGCCTCCCAGACTGCTGGGATCACAGGAGTGAACCATTGTACCCGACCTTAATGTTACTTTTAAGTTATTCAATCTTGCTTCACTTGACTTTGTAGCAAACTATTCTTTTGTCATTTTTGTAGTCTGTCCTTCAGATTATAACAATGTTTTTTCAACCTTTTTTTATCTTACAAGCACACTTGAACTTACAGCTAAACGTCCACGGTACACTTAAATTATGCCGATCAAAAAAAAAAGAGTAAAAAAAATATATACTTACTGTACTTTGAATGTTTCTGAACATACTTTAATTAATAATCTTTAAAATTTTTCTGGGCACACCTAAGAAACTCTCATGGCAAACCAGTACGTGTGATAACATGCTTGCTATATTACAGTCTCATGTACATTAATTATTTTCCATATCCTTAGACACACAAGTACTTTTCAAAATTTTAACTCCATTAATGCCCCTCCTGATATATTATTGTGCATTTTGGTTATACCTATATTTATTTATATATTGAAATTCTCTGAAGAATTATCACTAATTATATAGTCAATATTCATTTAGATTTTCCTACACATTTGCCAATATCATTATTCTTCATTCTTTCTTGCATTTACATGCTTCTATTTGGGATCGTATTTTCTTAACTTGAGGATGAATCTTTAGTTTTGAATTGGCTAGGGACAAATTTAACTAATTGTTTTGCATTAAAACGTGAGTGTGGGCTTGGCGCCTGTGGCTCAAATGGCTAAGGTGCCAGCCACATACACCTAAGGTGGCGGGTTCGAATCCAGCCCCGGGCCCACCAAAACAACAATGACAGCTGCAACCAAAAAATAGCCAGGCGTTGTGGCAGGCGCCTGTGGTCCCAGCTACTTGGGAGGCTGAAGCAGGAGACTTGCTTGAGCCCAGAAGTTAGAGGTTGCTGTGAGCTGTGATACCATGGCACTGGCACTCTACCCAGGGGAATAGCTTGAGGCTCTGTCTCAAAACAAACAAACAAACAACAACAACAACAACAACAACAACAACAAAAAAAAAAAACGTGAGTGTGAGCCAGGAGTGGTGGCTCTGGCCTGTAATCCTAGCACTCTGGGAGGCAGAGGCAGGTAGACTGCCTGAGCTTAGGAGTTCAAGACCAGCCTGAGCAAGAGTGAGACCCCCATCTCTAAATAGCCAGGCATTGTGGTAGTCAGCTGTAGTCCCAGCTATTTGGGAGGCTGAAACAAGAGGGTCACTTGGGCCTAAGAGTTTGAGGTTGCTATGACCTATGACATCACAGCACTCTATGGAGGGAGACAAAGTGAGACTCTGTCTAAAAAAAAAAAAAATAAAATAAATAAAATGTGAGTGTAGAAAAGCACACTCACTCAAAATACTTTTTTCTATTCTCTCACTCTATAACAACAAACAATACAGAAGACTTCTGTGACCACATGTGTGTGTGTTTTCCCCACCAATAAGCAAGCAATCAGTTCTACAGTGGAAACCAGCTGGGTGTCCTCTAATTCAGTCCTGACACTATCCACCTGGAAATAGCCTCACATCCTATACGTTGAGGGTTCTGCCCCCAATACTGCTCACTTCCTTCATACACCAGTTGTAAGTCCCAGTCTCTAGAACAGTGGTTCTCAACCTTCCTGGTGCTGCAACCCTTTAAAATAGTTCCTCATGTTGTGGTGACCCCCAACCATAAAATTGTTTTCATTGCTACTTCATAATTGTAATTTTTGCTACTGTTATGAATCGTAATGTAAACATCTGATGTTTGGTGACCCCTGTGAAAGGGTCATTTGACCCCCAAAAGGGTCGTGACCCACAGATTGAGAACCATTGCTCTAGAACTTCTGACCGGCTAGTTTCAAGTTGGGATTCCCACGACCTCCCTCTTTGGGTTTATCATAAAGGTATAGAGGAAGGGATGTGTTGCTCCCATGCCACCCCCAGCTATGCCACCCTCCAGGAACCTCAATGTGTTCAGCCATCCAGAACCTCATTGAACTCTGTCCTTTTGGGATTTTACAGAGGCTTTATGACATACACATGATTGATTAAGCCCTAGGCTATTGAAATAAACTTAACTTTCTTTTTTTTTTTTTTTTTTTTTTTTGAGACAGAGCCTCATGCTGCCTCCCTGGATAGAGTGCTGTGGCATCACAGCTCACAGCAACCTCCAACTCCTGGGCTCAACCGAGTCTCCTGCTTCTGCCTCCCAAGTAGCTGGGACTACAGGCACCCACCACAACACCTGGCTATTTTTTGGTTGCAGCCATCATTGTTGTTTGGCGGGCCCAGGCTGGATTCGAACCCGCCAGCTCAGTTGTATGTGGCTGGCACCTTAGTCACTTGAGCCACAGGCGCCGAGCCAACAAACTTAACTTTCACCCCCTCTCCTTTCCTTGGAAGTTGGGGGGATGTGCAGAAAGTACCAACCTTCTAATCCTTGACTTGTTCTTTTTTTTTTTTTTTCTGGCAGTAAGTATGTGGGTTTGAAAAGAATAATAACTGGAAGAGCATTTAAAATTATTTTCTGCATTAGCACAGAATTTTCTTTTTATTGTTTGGGATTCATTGAGGGTACAAAGAATTAGGTTGCACTGATTGCATTTGTTAGATACAGTCCCTCTTATAATTGTATCCTGCCCCCTGCCTTGTTCTTTCCAGGGCTCAGTCCCCACCCTGAAGCAACCTAGGGGCTGCCAGTCCTCAGGCAACTCATCAGCATACAAAACAGAAGGTGTTGGCGTTCCTAACGATTTATAGGAGTTCTATGCCAGGAAACGGAGCTGAAGACAATGTATATATTTCACAATATCACAATGGTCTATTTAACTTACATTATGAAAGATAATTTTTTTGTAGGCACAAAATTCTGAGTCTCTAGTTTTGCTTCACAGTGAATATATAATTTCACTTTCTGCACACTACCATTATTTCTGTTTAATATTATTTATCAGTCTTATTTTTGCTTGTTTGAAGATAACCTGTTGTTTTTTCTCTGTCTGCTTTGAGCATTTGCTCTTTGTCTTTGAGTTTCCACAGCTTTACTGTGATGAACCTGGTTTGGTTCTCCTTATATCCCACTATGCTTGACATATGTATTGCTTCTTGCATCTGGACTTATTATCTTTTGTTACTTTTTGACATTTCTCAAACATTGAAATAAATTTTTATGGACTATTCTCTATTTTTCCTTCTAGGACTCCAGATAAACATACATGTGATTTATTTAGTGTATCCCCTTTGACTTTGCCCCATCTCTTTCTGTATCC